GCTCTGATCTGTGTGACATCTAATTCGGTGTAATGAACCCAGTAAACCAGAGAGCATGATAGGGGGGCTTTCTAATGCAATGACAGGGGCAGCCTGGGCGGCTTTTGAAACACAGCTGGTGTGCGCACATGGCCCTCACTCCCCCCTTTCTCTCTCTCTGTCTCTCTCTCTCTCTCTCTCTCTCTCTCTCTCTCTCTCTCTATATATATATATATATATATATATATATATATATATATATATATATATATATATATGTTATCAGTTTCTCTGATTTTACTCTTTATAGGTAAATGAACATTATTCTTTCATTCTATGAACTACTGAAAACATGTCTCTGAAATTCCAAGCAAAACTTCTGTATTTATTTCCAGAAAATGGGAAATGGTCAAAATAACCAAACAGATGCAATGCTTCCAGACCTCAACTGATGCTAAGAAAACAAGTTTATATCCATTTAGAAACAACAATACTAATGTTTTAACTCGGAAATCAATATTTGGTGGAATAACCAGGAGGTTATTCAGTGCAGTGGTGTCTTAATTTTTTTTCTCCAGAGCTTTCTGAAAGATGATCATGCTGGACTTTCAAAATAAGGCCAATACATATTCCACAAATATTTCATATTTCAAAAAGTACATCATTGAAGGATTGAGCCTAACACAACTAACGGAATGAAACCCACGGTGGAAGTAGGAAAAACTTATTATGAAAGAGGCGTTTCATATCAGTCGATATCGATAATTATTGGTTCGTTCATTGTTTTAAGTATCTGAAATGCTCCCAAACTGGTTGGTATGACCTTTCCTGTTTTATCCACATTTTTTCCTCCATGTTTTATTTTTGTTTTTAAGCAGTAATGAGGCACGATGACGAAACATTAAACTTCTAATGTAAGTTAATCAGCAGGTTGCTGCTAGGCAACCAAAGAGTGAGTCAGTTGATGCCACCAACCTTGCTTAGCTCGCTGTGAGAGCTTGATTAGCTAAATCTACCAGAATGCTGTGCAGATCTGGATTGGAGTTCAGTGAATATTCTGCAGATTCGATATTTCATATTCTACCAGATGTATTATATATGAATATTTATCATGTGTCTGTGGTGTGTGCAGAGGACTGTTTGACCTGCGAATTGCTCATGTCTTGTGTTTGTTAAAAAAAAACAAAAAAAAAACAGCCCAAATCATGATTCTGCCACCACTGTGCTTGACTGTGACTGAAGAAAAATTGTTCATGTTAAATATGCATATAAAAATGCATTTACATGCATAAAAGGTCTGCTAACCATGTGAACCTGCTAAAAGGTTCACAAGAACCGTTGAGCTAAAAGTGTTTTCTAGTGATGTTAATTAAATAGATTTTAAAGGCACAACATGTGCCTTTAAAATCCCCACTTGTGCCTAATTTAGCCACAAGCTGCATGGCAGACAGACATATAAGAGGTAAGATATAAGTTTACAATCCCCGTATGAACACATTGAGCAACTGCTACTAATTCCAATAATGATGATTTATCTAACACAGAAAGACTCTGGGAATTAGGAGCTCAAATATTTCATTTCCCTGCTCTAAATTAGCCCTTCCACATCAAACAGTGTAATTTTATTCACTCCTAGTTTAGAAATAATGATAACCCCTCACTGAGACGTTTATTTGTAGTTGCGTAAATAAAACCGTAAAAGATCCAGGGATTTTATTTAATTTAGGAAAAAATTGTAGTGGAGATAATTACTCTTTTCACCGAGGCAGTGATGGTTTAAATTTGCTCTATCATTCCTGAGTAATAAAAGGTGTCAAAACCGTCATGACACTCCCACTTATCCCAGCTGATTTAAATAGACTTGGAAAAAAAAAAGAAAAGAAAAGGGAAAAGAAAAGAGGCTTCTTTTTTCATGACCACCTCCACTGCTGGTGCAAATGAAAATGCCCTTCCCAAAATAGATCATTTTTACCCTTCAGATGTCCACTTTTATTTTAAGCCTGGCGACACCATGCCATCCATCACACTCAGCCTTTCAGATGTGAGCAACCCTGGGGAAAACGCTGATACTATGCCGGGGAAGTGTGATAGCATGCTGCAGCCGGGCTGCTGGCTTCTCTATGGTTAGATTACCACTAATTTAATCTCAGAGTAGCATTTAAATGTTCTTTCTCCGAGTGAAGTGGAAGTTGTTCCTCTCTTTATGGTAAACATTGAAAATGGATGCTCTCCCTTTCCAGCTCTCCCCTCAAATTACTACTTGACATGGCCAGATATCACTCTGCATTGTCGTCTGCCTGGAAAAATGCACATCTGGATGCTTTACTGAGTGTTTTTGGCTGGGTGGGAATTATACAAAGTGTACCCAGCACTTTGATCATCTTGACCTGGAAATGTGATAGTCCCTCAACTTCACAGGCCTCCCTGACACCTAGGAAACTGGAGCTGGTAGTCTTGACACACGATCTGCACCACAGTACTAAAGACTAAACTTCTCCTGTTTCCTACTGGTGGTAATTTTGCACGGCTCAGACTTGTTTTTTTTTTTTTTTTTCCCCCACAAGCCAGTTGAGTTTAATTTGTTTCAAGTCTGGTCTGTATTTTGCATTCATGAATAGAAGAGGAACCACTTGTGTTTTTGCACTTTACGTTTTATAAACCCCAACTATACTTTTGAGGTCCATAAAAAAACTAACAATGTCAGGATTAGGGACGTTTCTCTCTTGCGTGGCTTCTTGCTTTTTTTTTTTTCAAAATTGTAAAGATTATGGTTTGTTTCGTATGTGTTTGTGTTTATCCGAGCAGTTTGAGGTCATTCCCATTGGAGAATGGTTTTGCAGAGTGTGCACACAGACAGGCCTTAGGGGTGTTAACAAGCAGAAAGTATTCCACTTTTTCGTTACAGCTGCAAATTAAGTCTTGGAAAAAGTATTGGACTTTTCCACATTTTGTTGTGTTGCAACCACAAACTTTCATCTGTTCTATTGGGATTTTGTGTTGTAGAGTAACACAAAGTAGCACGTAATTATAAACCGGGAGGAAGTGATACATTATACAAGTTTTTTTTTTTTTTTTTTTTTTACAAGTGATATTCTGAAGAAATGTATTGCAAACATTTGTACTTTCTAAAACCTCCATTAGCTTATGTCTCTATCAACTTTGCACATCTAGAGGCTAAAAGTGTTTGATCATATTTCTATTAAAATGTATGTCCAACACTTTTTCAATTGGATTTAGATTTGTACAAATCGGCACATGAATATCCTTTGATCTCACAACTGAGAATAAATTGTGCATCAACTCTTTTCACCTATTTGTTGCACTTGATTTTATTTAGGGTTGTATGAGTGAAAGGGGGCTGATAGTAAAGTCACACCACTTTTTAAATTTTAATTTGTAGACCAATTGAAAACCCACAAATAGTCATGTATGCATACCCTGCAAACATTGACTCTGCGTTTTTGGAACATAAAATATGGGGGGGGGAAAGAAGTTATGATGCCTCAGTAATTGTGCAAGGCATTGAGTTTCTTCCTAAATAACTTCAGAGTTTACCGTCCTTAGCAATCCAATGCCATGTCAGTCCTTCTTGGGACAGAGGCGGCGTAAAGCTGTTGCACTGCTTTTAAAGTTCACCACCCTTTCAGAACTGCCCCATCAAGTCCTCAGCCTTTGATCAGTGTTAACATAACGGCTAACCCTGACAGTTTATTTTCTGCTTTTGTCCAAAAAAGACCATTTGTGTCAGGGAACAATCTCCTCTTCCTCTGGCACATTGGCACACCTCAAAAGAAAAATGTCAGGGTCAGAGACGGGCCATTAGCCCAGAGTGGGCTCTTTTTTTGTGCTCCCAGAACCCATTGAAAACACCTTTTTTAGTCTTCAACAGATGATACCGTGACACAGCGACGACTGGCTTGACCTGAACCTTGACTTACAGACGTTAAAAAAAAAACAAAAAAAGGAAACACTGAAGCCTTGGGGAGGATTGAACGAATGACACGTTGAATGCCTCATAAAGAACGAACCTGCTTTGCATGGTTACATTGTGATACCTTGTATGCTAAATTAACGACGCATTCACCCTCTATTCATGGGTATTATACCCTTCTTTTTCACCGAGGTCGCTCCTCTGTTGGTGCAAATGTCATAGCGCTTTAATGAGAGCTCCACTGTACCCCATAATAGGAGCTTCTCAGGCAGATTAAATGTATCACTGTGCTGAAAACTTTCCTTTCCTCTCCTCCGCCCCTTTGGCCCTATTGTGACACCGTGGTTTTACAGAGCAGCTTGTTGCTGAAAAACAAGGTTAAGAAAGATCGGTATCAAAGGAGGAGTGTTTTTGTGTGGCTTGCGGGAGAGTCTCGCTTCAGGTTTCCACCTGAAACACAAAGGTGTTTTCTTACCTGATTTGTATTCATTCACACAATGAGTGGGCCTGCCTCTCTTGTTTCCAAGTAAGGAGAGTCCAGACGAGACTTTTGTTTGCCCTATCATTGGATACGTGCTTGTTGCTTCCTCCAGTACGAACCTTGGAGTCCAGCCACATGGCTTTGTCGTGGATGGATTTTTTTTTTTTTTCCTGCTCTTTTTCCTCTTCTTTGTTGTTTTGTTTATGTGCTAAAAAGCTCTTTCAAATCTGCATTTGAGCACTGCTGTTGATTTTTCCGTCTTCAGGATCCGGTATTGTGGCAGTAATATAAAGCTACGTCAGCCAAGCAACTGCAAACAGAATCCAAACACCAGCAGTTTTGTCATTTCAGTTCATAGCAACCTGCTACTGTTCAGTCTGTATAATGCTGATCTGCATCCTGACACAGTTTATATCCACTATATATATTTTGCAAAAAATCTAGATTATTTCTCAGTTTTCCCAGACTGGATAAGTATTTATGTCTCCATACTTGCCCCATTCGTATTCAAGCCATCCATACAAAATTTGGATGTGAAATATGCATATAATTTTGTGCTCTGAAAACGCTAAAGTAACCCTTACTGACCTCTGACTTCTTCCGTTGTAGGGGTTTTTCCTGACCGTTTCTCCAGAGTCGATCCTTAAGGTGGCAAAGCATGCTTCAGAAAACAACAAAATCTTCTGCATGAACCTCTCCGCACCGTTCATCAGCCAATTCTTTAAAGAACCCCTGATGAAGGTGATGCCATACGTTGACATCTTGTTTGGCAACGAAACGGTGAGTGAACAAAAATAAATAAATAATACATTTAATGCCTCTTTAGGATGTGCAGCAATTAATTTAACCTTATCATTACCGTCAGTAAAACTCAGAATGTAAGCGTACTTAAAAATGTGTTAATGCAAATCTATATCAGAAGCTTTTATTTTGTAAAACCATGTTTTTTAAAGCTGTTGTGCATCTCTGTTTTGGTAGCTACATTAGTCCCCTCAGCACACACTAAATCAGATTCATAATTTGGGGACCTATGTTTCACCACTTATTGCTTTTATAAATAAAATGAAAGCAAAATAATTAAATCAAATAATTAGAATTATTTTTTTTTTGCAAAAAAATAAAATAAAATCTCAATATCAATGTGAAAATAATTGTTTTCTACAAAGAAATGTCAATTAAAAGCATATAAAGTGAATTCAATATTGCCTCTTTGGCTGCAATCGCAGCGCTGAGTTTTTGTGACACGTCTGGCCACTGCAGTTTTTGTCCATTCTTCCCTCCAAAACTGCTCAAGCTCTGTAAGGTCGCTCTTTGATCGGGCGCAAGCTGATCTTTTCAAGCCCAAGCACAAATTTTGATAGGATCGAGATCTGGGCTTTTATTTTGAATTTTTTTAAAAATAAGCTCAGAATTGCAATGCTCACCTAAAAATGTCTAAGAAGTAAATCTTGATTGATTGATTTTTTTTCTTGTATAAATGTATAAATATCGTATAATGGAGACCCATTTCTCTTTGCCATTCTTCAGAATGAGAAAGACAAGAGAACATGACATTTAGCTAAGGTGTTGACACCAGTTGCCTCACAACAATAGCCGAGGCTGAATTGCTCCAGGTTTTTCTTGCTTAATTTCTTACCATTATTTCTGTTTCACATCTGTAATACTTATTTGATGCCTTCTTGGGTTTGACTTTTCGTGGTTAAAGTGAAAGCATCTCAACAATTGCTGAAGGTATTGCTGTAGAATATTTTGAACAAACGCTCACATCCTTGACAGGATGCATAATAGCAACTCTGTGACCCTCATGACTTTCCAGGTTGACATTTTTTGATCTCGATAATTCTTTACAACCACATATCTTTCAGCATAAAGGCTACCGTTGTTAAAGTTCAAAGAGAGCTGGGCCAACCCTTAAAGGTGACATGAAACCACTGCAAACACCAAAGCTGCTCACTTCCCTTCAAGAAAAATAAGTCTTAGAAAATGTTATTTTTTTAACATACACCAAGTGTATAGGTTTATAAATAATAGCTCTGTGCAGTGTAGGTTCACACAGAAAGATGTCCAGCACTTCCTCTTTTTGATCCATCAGTTGCAAGAATGCATGGCTTTCACAATGCTTTGACCTCTTCACAGACTGACACTAGAAGGGTTTGTGTCCTTTTTTTTTGTGTCGTAGCAGTTTCACATTGTGCTGCTGAGGTAACAGCTGATTAAGCCTGTGTCTAAACAACCAAATCTGGTACTGAGAAAAGGCACGGTTTAGTTGTATAAAGTTCCAATGCAATAGTAGAGCGTAAATATGTGGAGAACAGAAGGTTTGTTTTGTTTGTCCACAAGCATGTTTTTCTCATGTGGATTGAAAAAAGGGCTTTTCCAAACACATAGCTTTTAACTTTTGTACTTTAAGCTAAATTCATCCAGAAAGTCAAAACGCATCGACTACAGTATTTCATATGCTCCATGCAAGGATGGGGCGTATCCATTTTCTCCTCCTCAAAGTATACTGTAAGAGTTGGAGTTTCCACCTGCCTAAAAAGTTATGTGATATTGTCCCACAGTTGCATGTTTGTCATGCCATTTTAGGGAACAAATTTCATCATGTTAAATCAAATCAAACACTGATTATTTTCACTGTTATCCCATCACAATAAAGTGATTTAAACATATATAAGCCATGGCTCACAAGACTATTCATTTCCATCACAATGACATTAGAAAATTAAAATGATCCCGTCAAAAATCTGAGTGAAGTTTCTAACTGAGGACCCGATCCGAAGAAGGAACCAGAGGAGTGCTTTCAGTTACTCTGGTAAGCTCTGCTTTTGCTAATTTGTCAGTATGTGTCCTCTAACTCCAGTTTTTATGGTAGGAGAATGTCTGAAATTCATATTTTAGGGTTCTAGCTTAATCAGCTTCTTGAATTATCATGAAAGGTTGCTAGCAACCCTTTTCTATGTTGGGTTTGGCTTAAAGGGATAGATACTCTCATATCTGTGGTAGAGAAATCTTAAAAGATTGAAGGCTTACAACTACATAACCATTTCAAAGAGATTCACACTCAATATATTTTTCTATATATCTGTGGGATAAAATGGAATAATGACGGATATTAAATGTTGACACTTCCAAAAGAAAGTGTGGGCTTCTACACAGATTGCCGTTTGTTGAGGCTGTGGACCCCTCACAGCTGATTGCCAGTCTTCTAAAAGTCCACCGGGTGTAGAGGAAACGTTTGGATTTTGTAACATGTTTTATTTGGAGATAGTTCATTTTTGTGTTTTTCCAGGTTTCGCAGTTGTTTGGAAATGATCTTGTGGGACTGACAACCAGTTGATGAGGCAGATTGGTGCAACCACCAGCTCTAGGCGATGTAATTTTCTCATTGTTGAGGCAACAACAGCATGCTTAAGGGTGACACATGAGCGTTTTCGGTCTCGGTTGTTTTAAATGGCTAAAATCGGCGAAATTTACACAGGGATCCTCATGAGAAATGTGCCACAATTTGAAGCAAATTACAGACTGGCCTCGCCATCTGTATATGTTTTGTATACATTTTGTACACTCTGGTTCACCAACATGCTTCTGTGTAAAATCGCAAACGTTTACGTCTCCTACCACTCACTACTTACTCATAGAAATGACCCAGACATGTCGTTATTCCAAATAATCGGGTTTTTTTTTGTTTTGTTTTTTGGGGGGTGGATGAATTAAAATTATTTGACTTACAAATCATACAATCAAGGAAGTTGCTCTAGTGACCTTACATGTGGAAGGAAAATGTCTTTTGCAGTGGTTTTCTTCATTTAATGATCATACATGCATACACAGGTTCATATCTTTGTTATCAATATCGTTTTTATTGAAAATTATGAACTCTTTACAGCTTCCTTTCATACCAAAGCTGGATTATGTTCACAGATGTTTGCACCTCTTCCTATGTGGTGCAATGTCACAAAATGCATTGTGGGTAACGAATGATATCGCCTGTTTTCGAGCTGTTAAAAATGCACTTACTTTGCTAGATGAAGTTGCATTCTGATTTTGCAAGACAGAATTCACTTTAATAAAGAATCTTGAGGCTTTTTAATATCTAGTACCATGAGATTACATCCCTAGTTACCACCTAATGTGATTTTCTGCAGAATGAGTTTAGGATCCACTTCAAAGCTGCTGTAAAACTGCACTGCAGGTTTTAAAAAACAAAAAAATTTATACAGAATGAGTCAACCCATTAGCTATACCAGACGAAGCTTAAATACTTCTAAAATTCGTCTATTTGTATTTTTAAAAGCAGAGTATTGGACCCAGCCGGCAGCATTTAAGGCTCTTTGATTTAAAGCTTTCCGCATTAGGCTAACATCTCCTCTCACTTTGTTTAAATCAAAACTCTGTATCCATTGTTTGATTTCCCTAATTGATCTCCTCCATATCCATTTAACGTCTCACTTATTACAGCCCCATAAAGAGATTAATAGAATTAGCGCAGCGATCATTCATCTCAATCTCGGCAGCATTTCCCTCCGCTTGATCTATTGATTCCTTTTCTTTTTTTTTTTTTTTTCACCCGCCTGGTGGAAGTGTGAAGCTGTGTTGGAGGTCAAGCTGTGGTCACAGACTGCGGCGCTGCTGGGAAGTATCCTTTAACAGGCCGGAGTGGCCTGACTCTGAGTCCCCACCTGGACCAACTGCACCTAGGCGGCGGGGGGGAAGGGTGAATGAAGGAGTGGATGTTCTTTAGGCTGAACTCGCCTCCCTGCTGCTAAAGCTACTAAACAGAGCCCAGCCTTCAGGTTCGGGATGAGGTCCCCAGAACAGGACAGAGTTGGAAGAAACTGCTCAGCATTGGAGGATTTATTGCTCTTGCTGACTTCAGCTTTTTTCCTTCTTTTCTTTCCGCAGCCGACATAAAGCTTTCCTTTTACATATGCACCTCTCTCTCTCTCTCTCTCTCTCTCTCCCTCTCTCTCTCTCTCTCTCTGTGTTGCTCCCTAAATTGCTGGGAGGAACATTTCTGTCTCCTAAACTGCAGTGTACATTTTTACAAGTGGTATGTATTTTTCAGTTGGGTGGTACTGTAACTTTCTGCTCACACCTCCAGTTATTGCACTTTAATGACTCTGGATAATTGCATCTTATATTTGTTGAAGGAGATTATCTCTTTGGGACTCTGTCAGGGCTTGTACGTAAGGTTAAGACAGGACTCAGTGGGGAACAGAGCAGATATTCACTCCGAAGCAGCGAGGTCTTCAAGGCTCAGTGTAAGACTAATGCCTGTCCGGTGTGTTTTGACTCCTTTTAGCCCCCTTCCCTCCCCTCGTGCCCTCCCATATCTCGCCTCCTCACGTTGGCAGCTGGGAGGAGGGAAACGGGGAATGACTGCTCATACAGTCGAGCCCCAGACCTCCCATTGTGCACAGGCCAGACAAGGTTGGCGGTCATGCAGTGGTGCGTGATGAGTGACAGGCAACAGGGCTGCCTCGCCCACGCTCGGCCCCCCTCCGGCCCGCCCGGCCGTCCTTTCACCCCGACTTCCACCCCCCGACGTGATGGATAAGCCTCAGCCCCGCAATGCTTCCATAACAAGTCAATGACAGTCAGCATCATGCAGTCTGACTCCTGTTGCCTCCCAGAATGTGCCATAAGGGAAGGCTAATGTGTCTGCTTGTCTCTGCCTTCCTCTCCCACACTCACTGAGTCACGATCCAGAGCTACCCTCAAAGGGGGCGGGAGAGGGGGGGGGATCTGCTTAAAGCAGCTATAAGAGCTCAAATTCTGAA